ATGATTTTTGATGTCACTCAGGCTTCGTCCATGCGTATTTACAGTCTGTAGTTCTAGGGGTGTTATTGGGTGGGGCGGGGTTGCTCCCTGAACTGTTAGTCAGCCAATCACAGGGCTGACATACAGAGACAGACAACCAGCCACACTCACCTTCACACCTACGGTCAATTTTAGAGTCACCAGTTAACCTAGCGAGCATGTCTTTGGACTGTGGGAGGAAGCCGGAGTACCTGGAGAGACTCTGCATGCACGAGGAGAACATGCAAACTCCACACAGAGAGGCTCCTGTCAGACGGGGATTCAAACCAGGAACCTCCTCAGCTTTAACCACTGCAGCACCTTGCAGCTGTTTCCCTGTCTTATTGCTAATTAAGCTAATCGTCTGCAGCTTACTGTTCAGCAAACACATTAAGCATGCACAAGAGTTGCATGTTGTCGACTCAATCAAACTTTTTGATGAAAATTCTTCACATTTTAAGCAATTTAACGCCCTCTGTGCTACAGTGATTTACTTAAGAAGAGCATATCTGTTTAAAATCAAAATATTGAGAGATAATGGTGTTGTGTTTAGATAACAGACCTTATATGGTCAAGAGAAGCAGACTCCACCTCCTCTGTCCTTTTTGTTGTTTCCATAGTGACAGTGAGTTAAAGGTAAAGTCCGCAGGTTATATAACGTCCGGCCAACAACAAAGTCTCAACACAATACTGAACAAACAGCACACTTCCTGCTATTGTTACACGCTGCTACACTGCTCCCAACATCCTCCTCCTCCGCCCTCCTCTTTTTCCTCCCACTGCTCCTCTCCCTCCTCACCCCCCCTCTTTTCCCGTCTCTCCCTCTCCCACTCCTCTCCTTGTCTCCTCTCCTGCTCCCCTCTGTCTCTCCCTCTCTTTCTCCTGCCTTTCACTCTCCTTCTACTCCTGATCCATGTATCCCGTCTCCTCTCCCCTCCTCCCTCAACTCCTTCCCATTCTCTTCTCCTCCTGCTCCTGCACCTCTGCAGCCTTATTCTCCCCTTCCTTCTCCCCCTTTCACCCTCTTTCTCTGGCTCCATGTCTCCCCCCCTCACCCCTTTCCCTCTCCAACTTTCCTACTCCTTCCCTTCCTCTCCTTGTCCTGCTCCTCTCCCCTTTTCTTCCTCATCCTCCTTATCCTCCTACTTCTTCTCCTCTTCCTTGATGTCTCCCCTCTCCTCCTGCTCCCCCAACCCTTTTTTTCTACCCTTTTCTCCTCGTTCCATTTTGCCTCTCCTCATTTCTTCTCCCCCCTCTTTTTTATCCTTCCCTCCCCTCTGCTCTTTTCTTGACTCCTTGTCCTATCTCCTCCTTTCCTTCGTCTCCTGTTTTCTCTCTCTCTCTCTCTCTCTCTCTCTCTTTCTCCCTCCCGCCTAAACTCCCCTCCTTCTCTTCGTCTCCATCCTTTCCTCTCTCTTATCTCAACCCTCCTCCCCCTCCCCCCTCTTCCTTCTGATACAGCTGTTTGCCCTCATTGACCCGACTCATCAGGTGTGATTTCCATCTGTTTTTGTCGTCATGGCAGCGTACTGTTTGTTTCTTTCTCACGTATATCTGCACCTGAACAACAATGCACAGCAGTTTTCTTTAGTTATAATGAGAAACCATTGACAGGGACCTCCTCATACACAGAACATGTTTACAACGTTTAAAAGTTAATCAGAATAAACATTAAAATCCAATATCAGAAATTTGACTCTTTTAGTGACCCTGCAAAAAGAAAATCCCCCCCAAAATCTTAAGACTGCAGCCAAAAATCATTGTGAGCTGCGGATCTATTGTCCTTACTCGTGCCAGAGGTTATATTTAAAAAGTATTTTAGGTTCATTTTTGGGCTTTTCATGCCTTTATTTTATAGAGATAGGAGCTGCCATCGCCTTTTTAAACAGCTCATTTATTTGTTTAATCTGTTTTTATCTATTTATTGTCCATCAGACTTTGTGCTACTTAGTGTCCTTCTTATGTTGTGTGCTGGCTGTATGGATGTGTGTGAAGACTGAAAAATTTTGAAGACAGCAACGTTTCTTTGTTCCTTAGTTCAACTACAAGTTACTATAATTGTCTAATTGCGAGGATCGAACACTTTGTAACAATTAGGCCTGCTAGTGGTGAGATTTAAATTAATGTGGCCTGCCTGGTTATCAAAGATGAAAATCAGTACTTCATGTTACTAAATGAATGAGCTTTAAAGCTGTTCAAACACAGAAAACATGAGCAGGAAGCTGCAGATTCTCTGTTGACTGTCACAGAGTTTATTAATAAATAAAAAACTTTTGCATTCTATTTTAAGTCTTGTATTCGGTCTGGTATCAAACCATCATTTACAGTAATGGTGCAGTCATAGGCTGAGACTGGACCTGATGAATCACATTATGTGTTTTCTATCTTACGCAATGTTCGCTGTGTTTGTGTGTTACAGAAGAAGAGGAAGCAGGCCAGCAGAGATGCAGACTCCCTCAGCCTCTGCAGTCTGGACATCAATGTGAGTTCATCTCCTCTCATTGTTTCTTTCTTTTGTGTTCAATCTGAAAGTTGGTGGATTCTGTTCGACATTCAATAAGTGGTGAAATGTGTCTGAGAAGCTCAACCTGAAGAGCTGTTGAGTTTGACTTAAACCAGGCTGAACACTTCCTGTTTGTGTGATTCATTTCATGTGTACACTTTCACACTATGACCTAAAAAAATGAAAACATAATCATTTCTAAGCTGTAGATTTCGTTAAATTATTTCTCTCCTGTTGGATTAAGCGTTTCTGGTCAGGAAGTGATTCTGCTCTGTTGTGTTTTTAACCTGCTACCCGTCCATGTAGAAGTCTGCAGAGACCTAATTTAACCCAGTAATAAGCTACTGACGGGTCCATGGGACCTAGTTTTAGACTCATGTTTTGGTCAATGCAACAAATAAAAGCCATATGCACCTTTTCCCTCTGGATACACTGATTAATTTGTTCATATTTTGTTATTAGAGGAATCCACTAATCTGATCAGAAGAAGATCCTTTGGATTGAAACATTGCCCTTAATTAAATTGCTCATTGGGAGATGAACAGTGTGCGGACCTTCCCCTTTTTCTCTGCAGTTTATAACTTTTTTGTCCTCTACCTGTATGCAATTTGCTTGGATGTGCGCACACTAGTCTTTATTCTCTCAGGACTCCAATACTCCACATAAACAAGAAACCATTTATCAATACAATGAAAAGCAACATGAAACAGATTCAAATTCTGCACGCTTGCTAAATTCAGCTGCTCGGTCAAAAGCTGTTAGGATTCATTCACACACCTGGTTCCTACAGCTGTATGCACACCAAAGGTAAAGGCTCCACCTGGTGCCTAGTGTTGGTATTACATGCAAATGTCTCATGCAGAGATGAAATGTTTCATTCAGATAAACCAAGTTGGTAAGTGTTTAAAATGTTTGTTGCAGCAGTAAAACATTATTAGTGTTTGATGTCTAGGGTCCGACCTCGTCACTCCCTGCAGATTTATTTTACATGCAGAAATCTGAGGAAAAAATATCTTTAACCCCGCAGTCGGAGCCAGCAGGTGGATGCTGGGTCTGAAAGTTTAAGCATAGCAGGAGTATGAGACGGCAATGGTGATTACAGAGTAGACGGTGACACCGGAAAATGTTGTTTAGGTTAAAACTTAAAGTTGCCTCATGGATCTATTTTGTAAACAAATATTATGTTCACATTACAAAACACAAGTCTCAGAGCTCCCCAGAACATGTGTGTGAAGTTTCTTGTTCTAAATCCACTCTGATCCTGTATTTCATCATGCCTGTAAACCCCTCTATTTCAGCCCTGCTCAGAACAGGCTGTTTCTGTGTCTGTACCTTTAAATATGTAAATGAGCTGTGTCTGACCACGCCCCCTCTCTAGAAGGGCTTGGGTGTCTCAAGCTTTCTCGCTCCATGCCCTATTGTTTAGGGGGAGAAGGCAGACTCAGAGGGCCAGTTAGAGAAACATGGTGAAGTGTGTTTTGTGTAATATGTGACCTTTAAATGTATCCTTGAAGTTTAACAAATGGATTGAATATATTTATTTTCTCATCAAACGTCTGCACACTCGAGTTTTTTCTTTATACATTTTTAGCTTTTAAAATTATCATAATTATCTTTTTAAAGTTTCTGTTTATGCCTAGGAGTTTCTTTATATTCATACTAACATTGAAAAAATTCAATAAATTTCAGAAAGTTCATATTTACATTTTCTGCATTAGAAGGGCAGACAGCTGACAGGCAGCAGGACAGTTACTGAGCTGTGCGCATTGTTTCCTCCTGCATTCACTGAAGATCTGTTGTATATATTCTGACCCTTTGGGGGCCCTCAGACCTTGTGTTGGGCCACTCCTTGTGTACATTTGTGTATTTTTAGCGTGCTGCCAGTGGCCCGCTCCTTCCCCGGGCGTTCCCCTCCCTGCTGGGTCTAACACAGGATGTCCACCCTGTTCGATACACCGGTGTGACAAATAAACCCAAACACGCCATCAATCTTATTCAGAGACTGGACCAAAACTGAACCTGGAATAAATTACACTCAATTGTTTCTGTGCTGTCACTCCTCAGTGACTCACACACACACACACACACACACACACACACACACACACACACACACACACACACACACACACACACACACACACACACACACACACACACACACAGGGTGGGGTTCGATTAAAGAGTCTGACTGAAAGGCTGAAAACAAAGTGTCATTTTATTTCATTTTATTACAAAATTAAATGTCTCTACTTGTTATGTTAGTGTTTTTTAAGGTTGTTACTTGTTTGTTTATCCTGTAAATATTTAAGAAGAACAATTTGGCATAACTACCTAAACCCTGTGACCCTGTGACCCTGTGACCCTGTGACCAAAGCACTGTAGATTCAAACTTTATATTCATGATTGAAGAAGATGAATTGAAAGTGAAATTGACCACAAAGTTGTTTTTATTGTGATTGTTGTAGTTGTAGTAGTTGGTATTGTAGTCATTGTTGCTTTATCACTCTTGTTCTTTTATTGTTGTTGTCGTGGTGATGTTGATGTTGTAGTTGTGGTGGTGAGCTGTTCGTTTATGGCTGATTAATCAGATTCATATAACTATTGAACATGGGAAACACACACACATTTCATATATATTTAATAGGCCTTTAAATCCTTTGAGTAGTTTCTGATATCAGCAGTTTTTACTATTATTGTTAGTGACATTGTTACTGTAACATAAGGGCGGCTGTGGCTCAGTTGGTAGAGTCGGTCATCTCTCAACTGACAGGTTGAGGGTTCGATCCCCAGCTACATGTCCAATGTGTCCTTGGGAAAGACACTTAACCCCAAGTTGCTCCCGCTGCTTCATCGGCGTGTATGATTGTGTATAAATCTTTTTGCACTTGAATTGCACTTTTGGACACCTCCACTTTGCACTTTAATAATTTGGTAGGAATTCCCATCTTGGTGTGAGCTCTTGACTGATTTTATTGCCGTGTTTTATTGGGTTTTATATTTTGTTGTGTTGTCTGACCAAAAAAAAGAGTGAGTGAATAAAACATTTCTTATTAAAGTTATCAGCGAATTAGAAGAGGTCAGCATCATTAAGATTCTACGATGTGAATAAAATAACACAAGTTCATTCTTCTAACAGATTTAAATTCAACAGTAAACAGAGACCGGCCGCCACTCAGAGCCACGCCTCGTTGATTGTGCTGTTTCTGCACTGAGTGGTTATAGACGTTTTCACTGGTTAATTAATTTGTGCTGAGCGCCGCGGGCTCACATGAACAGTTATTGATGTTGTTCTGTAAACCAGAGGCTAAAGGTTAGTAAACCGAGTGAGCATCAACATGTGTTTCCTTCCCCTGGTGTCTATATAGCTGCACGACCTCCAGGATAGGACGGCTGCTTCAATATTCTATGAGACGTTTAAAGTAACCTAATATTTGGATTTTAATGATGCTCTTTATGAAGCACTTAAAAAAGAAAAGTAACACAAAATGTTGTTAATGCAGAAATCAAAAAGTCAAAATAATTGCAAACTGTCTCATAATTATAAGATATGCATAACTGTTAATGAGGCCAAAGGTCAGCGCTAAGTCCAACCCTCACTGCATTTCGAGTTCCTTTTTGTCCTCATTTCCCAAAACATCATCTCCTAATTTCAGTTTCTTTCTGAGCTTCTTTCCCTTCAAATGTCCAGAGTAAACCAGCAGACAGAGGGAAGTGAAGCAGCCGTTATGGAGAGTCATTGATATATGCTAACAATGCTATAGTCTGTTTCAAGTGTTGGCAGATTAAAGGTTGACATATTAACATATTATTCAAAATCCACTTCACCATGTTTCTCTAACCCCCCAATCATGAGAAAGGTCCATCCTCTCCGTCTTTTCAGAAAATGTGTGCTCAAACAGGCTGTTTGGAGATTTTCCCTTCATGACATCACAAAGGGCAGTAACCCCTCCCCCAGGTGGGTGACACTCAGCTAGGTGTTTGTTCTGCCCTCTGAGTCTGCCTTCTCACCGTAAACAATAGGACATGGAGCGAGATAGCCCAAGCTGACCCAAGCCCTTCCGGAGAGGGGGCGTGGTCAGACACAGCTCATTTACATTTAAAGGTACAGACACAGAAACAGCCTGTTCTGAGCAGGGCTGAAATAGAGGGGTTTATAGGCATGATCAAATACAGGATCAGAGTGGAACAAGAAACTTCACACATGTTTTTGGGAGCTATGATTTTTATTTAAACTTTTAGAAAAGGAGGAGAATATGTGACCTTTAAGTTTCTTTCTAAGCTTCTTACTCAACAGGCAGGGAGCTTTTGATCAATGTCAGTTCAAAAAAAGGTCGGATTGATTTCTGATGAGTGTAAGGTAGTTTGAATCTATACACTGATTGGCTTTTGCCACACAGCGTCCAGAAGATTTGTGGCTCAGGTTTGAACTGTAAAGCAAATAAATCTCCCTCAACATGGGCTGGTATGCCATAAACACAGATAACGATCCGCCTGTTTATTGTTGTCCACACAGACCTTTTATACCTGCATACACAAAACCCTGTTACATACCATAACTAGATCAAAACTCCTCACAGGAGGTCAAATCACACAAACGTGGACACCCTGTACACAGCACTGTCAGTCTTTTTATCATGGTGCAGGTGATGGCAGGAAACATCATCTTGACATCAAATGTGAAGATTCACGGCAAACAAGAAGGCTGAATTACTTCTTTTTATTTAATTTCAAACTCAAACCAACTACGAGTTTCGCCCTGATGGCTTCACAGGAGCTTTTACTCATACTTGGGCACACACCCACAGCACCTGTAGTTCATACACAGAGAAACACAAACCTCGGAAAAGGGATACATTATGTATTTCATTATGTAACTCATTGTTTGCTTAAATATTCATCTTAGGAAAAGGGCAAAGAAAAAAGTGGCTTACGGCCCATGAGGGGATAATAAAGAAGGAAAGCCCACACACTTTTCA